TGACGGTGATCCTAACCCAATGGCAACAAATCCAACTAAGCAACTATGTATGATATGAATATACAATCAACCAAATTATCAAACACATAGTTCTTGTGTGCGTTTAAATTGCAAGTGTATATATAAAAACAATAAAGAACAAAAGAAATTAGTTGACGCGGAAATCCTCCCTGAAAAAAACCATGGGGCACCTCTTTAGGGTTCACTAAAGGCTAATCCACTATTCTAAAGTTAGTTTACAAGTACTCAAAACTTATATCTCAACTAATATCATGGTTAAACACTCATTTCTTTCAATAAACTTCTACATCTAAAGTCCTTCAACGTTATAGATAGCTTCACTTGAACTCCCCGTCGCATAGTTCATTTCGATCTCAAGCAATCTTCTCCACTAAGATATTTGGTGTGCACACTTCCAAAGGGTTTGGTTTAACTAGCCAAGTTATTTATTCTCCAAGGTATAAGATTGGATATGAATCATAAGATGGTAGACTTTAAATTTTAGAGATCTAGGGTTATGGTGAGATCTCTTAAGGTTTAGAGGCAAGAAATAATATCACAAAAGAAATTACCTAGCTTGGGAAGACTCTCTCTATTTATAGGCTCATAATAGCATATGCCTTGGGGTCTAAGAAAACACAAATTTGTGAACGATCATTCAAACAGTGGGAGGACAATTATAGGGTAGTGGTCATTGAAATGAAATNAATTACCTAGCTTGGGAAGACTCTCTCTATTTATAGGCTCATAATAGCATTTGCCTTGGGGTCTAAGAAAACACAAATTTGTCAACGATCATTCAAACAGTGGGAGGACAATTATAGGGTAGTGGTCATTGAAATGAAATTTGGAATCAAACCAAAACTTTAGAACAGGGACTACTCTAGCGACCTCAGGACCACTCGAGCCGACTAAAGACTGCTCGAGCTCCTTCAGAGTGAACCAGAGTGTGATCCTCACTACCACACTCTTAGTCTTTTCTCGAATTCTTTCCTAAATCTTTAGAGACCTCTCTAGCGAAGGCTAGCAAACATAAATTAGTCCTTACTGATTTTTTAAGCTTAAACATAAGCAAAAAAAGACTAATACTCTTAAGCATTAAATGGTGTTATTCAAGAAGGATCACATAATGGGTCAAAACTATGCTTTCAAAACACAAATAGATTTAGAAAATATTTTCTTTGAAAATTACCTAGAATACATACACGGATCAATATTGATTTCATTTTAACACTAGTCATCCTAAGTCTAATAAATTAAATTAGGATTTTTAAGTCTCTAAGGTCATTACCTTTGTCCTAAAAGCAAAACGGTGAATATGGAGAGTTCTTTTGGTATAGCTTGAAGTATTATATCATCGAGTGGGGGCAACTGCCCTCACTGAAATTTTAAAACAATTTGTGGAGTAAGTATAATTTTAAAAAATTTAAAATTTATTAGAGATTTGCCCCCACTTATTTTTTTAAAAAAGATTTAAGGGTAGTTTTGTTATTTTGACAAATATAGGAGTCTCAATTATAAATGTTAAAAAGATTTAAGGGTATGTATGCTAGATGATATCATAAATTTTAGAGTTTATATGTTGAACTAAATTTGGGGCTTGTAGTCCTCTCCTTTGTTTTATATTTATATGTTAGAATTAAAATTTTGGGCTTGTAGTTCTCTCTCGTGGTTTATTTTTTGCATGTTGAATTGAAATTAGGGCTTGTAGCCCTTTGTTTTATTTTATTTGTTACGTGTTAAATTGAAAATATGAAATTAGGGCTTGTAGTATTATCTTGTAGTTTATTTTTTATGTATTAAATTAAAACTAGGGTTTGTAGTCCTGTATTTATTTTTCTATGTTAAAATAAAATTGGGGCTTTTAATCCTCTTTTATGATCTATTTTTTATATATTTAATTAATATTTGGACTTGTAGTCCTCTATAGTATTTTATTTTAATATGTTCAATTGGAATTGGCACTTGAAGTCCTCCCTTTTATTTTATTTTTATTTATTGATTTGGAATTGAGGCTTGTTGTCCTCCATTATAGTTAAACTAAATTGTTTTGATTGGGTGTTTTGAATAATTTTATTATGATAAGTTAAGTAGTTTTTATTCGTAGGTTTTGTTTAATAGAATAGTCATAGTTTAAGTTAGTTTCGATTGTTTGTTAAAGTTCAATGATAAATACTAAGTGTGTGACTGAACAAATTAATTTTTGAATTAGTAATGAAAAAATTTCTTAAAATTCAATATATGATTGAGCCCAATTTTTCGATTCAATATATTTTTGTTAGGTCTTATAGACAAATTTATAGTAATTTTTTTTGTTGGCTCCTCTTGTATATTGCTCATGTATATAAATTGTACATTTAATTGGTGTTTTGTTAATGAAACTATACTTTTATGAATAATTAAAATTTTAATATTAATATGGTTTAGGTTGCCCCATTGGAGAAAATGTTTGGCTTCGCCCCTAATCTCTTCCTTTTCATTTTGATGCTTCTGGATCTTCATCGTTGAAGCATAATAACCATTAAATAGATTTATATTTATATAAATGTCACGAAATTAACTAATTACAATACGTGAACTACCAAACAAAAATACACATTTAACTGTCCATTGCTCATTATTATCTTCATTTTTCTTCCCCGCATTAAGAAGAAAAATATTATCCACTAAAAATGATCAACATGTATCAAAAATTTTTACTCAAATTTGAGTCAACATTTAAGTAAAAAGTTTTATTTGATATAAAACATTTAAATTGAGAAACTCAAAGTTAAAAAAAGGATATATATGACGAGTAGATTTTTAAAAGATAATAAAATCTAACTATTAATGATTTGAGTAATGGTTTAAGTCTCTCGTGATTTGAATAAAAATTTAATTCTCCGTTGATTTGGTATAACAATGGATAATATTTTTAGAGATTTTTTTTTATTTAAACTTAAATTTGAGTTTAAAAAAATGTAAAGAGTTGAAGATGTTCTTAGTAGTATATGTATTATAACTTGCCGATTTTGACCTTTGGACTAAAAAAATATTTAATATAATCGTGTTATCACAACTCAATAAAAATATATCTCATATAATTTAATAAATACTCATACAAGTAATATAATGCAAGTGAGATTCATTTTTTTATTTTATAAAATAATGATATTAAGTGACAATAAATCACATGAAGGTGGAATATTTACTCCCTTAGACCGCCGTTAAAAAAACGCTTAACAGAACAATTACATTTATTCCCACGTCAGATAAATAGATCCCTTTGGAACATGTTTTGACCTTACTGCCCTCGGAAGTCCACATCTGCCATTAAGGACCGCGGTATTTTCGTAATTTTGCTGAAAACTGCTAGATTTAGTGATAGATAGAAAAGGAACTGCATGAGTACAGCCATTATGTAATCTGATCCGTCAAACCTAAAGTGTGGGGCCTGACGTACGACACTATACTGCAACACGTCGTACAATATAATTTCTGACACCACTTTGTTTCACCGTAGTTACAGCGCGTGGGAAAATAAAAACAAAAACACCCAATTAGCAAACGGGCCCGAGAGTTATGGTGCATGGTGCTCCATGTTTTACTGGTGCATGACTGTTATGCGTCTAGAGAGTCAGTGGGGGTCACAGACGCCTACTATTATTTAGTGATTATATGTTTATCAAAAATTTTTACTAAATAAATGTAAATAATTAGGTCATTAACTTTTTTTGATGGAATTTAATAATTGAACTATTTACATTCATTTGATAAAAGTTTTTGATAAGCACCTATCCTATAGAAAAGTAATTGTGATCATAGATATTTAGTTAATTTAATTATAATTATTAATTTTAAAAATAATAAATGAGTCTAGTAGTCTAATATTAGCAGGTTAAAATTAATAATAATTTTTTAACACAAACTAATAAATGACATGATTCATTGATACAAATAATAAATGAAACAAGTTAGTGTCACATACAAAAAATAAAAATTTGATATAATTAACACATTTAACGAGTATTATATGAATACAATATTAATTATTTGTTATTATTTATCAAATATTGACATAATAATTGTATAAAAAAGATATTTTTAACCTTTTTTATTGTTATGTTTTAAGTTAATTTTTAATTTATAGAAATAATATGAGTATTAGTTTAATTAAGTGATTATAGAATCTTAGAATTAAATTTTAACGTTAAATTATTTATTCACAGATTATATGGATCAACACGAAAATAAACAAGTATTCACGAGACATACCTGAATTTATTTACAACCTATCCAACATATGGAGCTAAATTTCTCTTTAGATGTTTTGACACACACACACACACACACATATATATATATATAATCATTTAAGACCTACTTATTTTATAAGTGAGTTAAGCATGACATATTTGGAAAGATCATCAATATTTTGAACTTGGCTTTTGTATGATAGTTAATCAAGAAAAATGATATAAAAATAAATTGATTGAAATTGTTAAGAAATTGACTCATAAGATAAAAGAATAAAATGCAAAATTGAGTTAACGTGGATCTAAATTTCAAAATAATCTTGAATAATCAAAAATTGCCACGGTTAATTTACACCACGAACCACATCAGCTCTAATGTCCCTCCTTGCTCTAGCCACCATTCATTAAAATACAACAGGAAGAAGCAAAGACAAAAAATAAAAAAAGAAAAAAAAAATATAAAGCAAGAAAGAAGAAAATTCCAAAAAAAAATTATAAAGAAAAATTTGAGAGCAGATGAGCCAGATTGCAATAATCAGTTGGCCTTAATTAAGCCTCGTGATCATGAATAAAGACAATTAATTAAAGTGGTGGAATCTCCATTAAAATAGACAGTGATGGATCTATCCTTAATCACACGTACGGGGGAAACCTAGAGAGACAAACAGATTGTTCTAGTGAGAGAAAACACAAACACACACACAAAAAAAATATTATATATATATATATATATATATATGAACAGAGAGAGAAGATGGCTCGCATGGCATGTGAGCAACAGCTGTGTTCACTCTCTCTTCACCCTCGTCCTTCCCTCTCTCCCGCAGTAATATATATACCCTTCTTACCTTCCTTACTTCATCTTTTGACTCTCTTCACAGTCTCTCTAAAACAGCCAATCCCACTTTCTCTCTCTGAGCCACAAGGCATCTTCTCTCTCTGTCTTTCTTTCTAATGGCAGCTCAATAACTCAAATCCTGAAGAAACCCATTTTCCAAACTCAAAAATGAAACCCCATAACAGTTTTCAGTTCCTCTCTCTCAGCTTTTACAACCTCTTCTTGCTCTATTATCTTCTACTCTTCTTGTACTTTCTTACCTTTCTCTCTCTACAAGCTTCTTCAGCTTCTGTCAATGGCCTATCCAAAGACTCACAACAGCTCTTATCCTTCAAAGCTTCACTACCAATCCCAAACGAGCTTCACAACTGGGGGTCAAACAATAACCCCTGTAATTTCACCGGAGTCACCTGCAAAAACTCCAGAGTTTCCTCCATAGATCTCAGCAGCACTCAGCTGAGCGTCAATTTTCTCTCAGTCTCATCTCTCTTGATAAATATTCCGAACTTGGAGACCCTTTTGTTGAAAAACTCTAATCTCTCTGGCACTGTCACTTCCATTGCAAGATCCCAATGTAGCACCGTATTAATCTACATAGATCTAGCTGAAAACACTGTTTCTGGGCCAATTTCTGATCTTTCAAGCTTTGGTTCATGCTCAAGCTTGAGGTTTCTGAATCTTTCCCAGAATTTATTAGACTTCAATGTTCAGGATTCAAAAGGGTTACAGCTCAATCTTCAAGTGCTCGATCTTTCTTACAACAAGATATCCGGTCAAGACGTAGTTCGGTGGCTATTACCCAATGGTTGTGGTGAGCTCCGGTACTTGTCCTTGACCGGTAACAAAGTCGCCGGCGATGTTCCGGTATCGGATTGCAAGAGTTTGGAGTATTTGGATCTTTCTGCCAATAATTTCTCAATTGGATTTCCTTCTTTTGGTGATTGTGCATATTTGCAACATCTTGATTTGTCATCCAACAAGTTTTCTGGAGACATTAGCTCTTCCCTCTCTGTTTGTGGGAAACTCAGTTATTTGAATCTCACCAATAACCATTTCACTGGTACGATTCCAAACCTTCCCAGCGGAGCCATGCAGTTTCTGTACCTTTCTGGGAATGGTTTTCAAGGGGTACTGCCTTCAAATCTTTCGAATTTGTGCTCAACTCTTGTGAAGTTGGATTTGTCTTCCAACAATTTGTCTGGTACTGTGCCTGAAAGCTTTGGGGCATGCTCTGTTTTGGAACTCCTTGATATTTCTGTCAACAACTTCTCTGGTGAGTTACCAATTGGAACCTTTCTCATGTTGAGTAATTTGAAGGATTTGGTGTTATCATTCAATGATTTTGTTGGTGCTTTGCCTGAATCTTTGTCAAATTTGACAAACTTGGAGACTTTAGATGTCAGTTCTAATAATATTTCGGGTTTGATTCCTTCTGGGATTTGTCAAGACCCAAGAAATAGTTTGAAAGTGCTGTATCTTCGGAACAATATTTTCACTGGTCCAATACCAGAGAGTCTCAGTAATTGTTCACAATTGGTTTCACTTGATCTAAGCTTTAATTACCTTAATGGAACAATCCCATCCACCTTGGGATCATTGGGGAAGCTTCGGGATTTGATTATGTGGTTGAATCAGCTTCATGGTGAAATCCCACAAGAGCTTATGTATTTACAATCTCTGGAGAATTTGATTCTTGACTTTAATGACTTGACTGGATCGATCCCTCCTAGTTTGAGCAATTGTACACATTTGAATTGGATTTCATTGTCCAACAATCAACTGAGTGGTGTGATACCAGCCTCGTTTGGTAGTCTGGAAAATTTAGCCATTCTCCAGCTAGGAAACAACTCAATCTCTGGGAGCATCCCGGGGGAGCTAGGGGATTGTCGTAGCTTGATATGGTTGGATCTGAATACAAACTTCTTGAATGGGACTATCCCGCCAGCTATGTTCAAACAGTCTGGCAAGATTGCATTGGCATTGCTCACTGGGAAAATGTATGTGTACATCAAGAATGATGGCAGTAAGCAGTGCCATGGAGCGGGGAATTTGGTCGAGTTCGGAGGAATCAGACAGGAACAGTTGGACCGAATTTTATCAAGGCACCCCTGTAACTTTACTAGAGTTTACAAGGGCATCACCAAACCAACATTCAACCACAATGGGTCAATGATTTTTCTTGACCTTTCTTTCAATAAGTTGGAGGGTAGTATTCCAAAGGAGCTTGGGTCCGCATACTATCTCTCTGTATTGAATTTGGGGCATAATGTTCTCTCTGGTCCTATTCCTCCAGAGCTTGGAGGTTTGAAGTATGTTGCGATTCTTGATCTATCATATAATAGTCTCAATGGTTCTTTTCCACCATCATTGACTGGCCTTGCAATGCTCTCGGAGATTGATCTGTCCAATAACCACCTCTCTGGAATGATTCCTGAATCTGCTCCTTTTGATACATTTCCTGACTATAGGTTTCTCAATAATTCGGGCCTCTGTGGGTACCCTCTACCTCCTTGTGGGGCAGGTTCAGGTGCAAGTTTAAACCAGCATCAGAAGTCTCATCGTAGACAAGCATCCCTTGCAGGGAGCGTGGCAATGGGGTTGTTGTTCTCCCTCTTCTGCATCTTTGGTGTGATTATAATAGCTGTGGAATCAAGGAAAAGGAGGAAAAAGAAGGAGGCTGCCCTCGAAGCCTATGTGGATGGCCATTCCAATTCAGCAACTGCAAATAGCGCTTGGAGGCTAACCAGTATTCGTGAGGCACTGAGCATCAACCTGGCAACATTTGACCAGCCTCTCCTGAGGCTCACTTTTGCTGATCTTCTTGAAGCCACCAATGGCTTCCACAACGACAGCCTTATAGGTTCTGGTGGCTTTGGTGATGTATACAAGGCCCAATTGAAAGATGGAAGCATTGTTGCCATCAAGAAATTGATACATGTTAGTGGGCAAGGTGATAGGGAATTCACTGCTGAAATGGAGACCATTGGGAAAATCAAGCACCGGAACCTTGTTCCTCTCTTGGGCTACTGCAAAGTAGGAGAAGAACGGCTCTTGGTTTACGAGTATATGAAGTATGGAAGCCTAGAAGATGTATTGCATGACCGGAAGAAAAATGGGATCAAGTTGAATTGGGCTGCAAGGAGGAAGATTGCTATTGGGGCCGCTAGGGGATTGGCTTTTCTTCACCATAACTGCATTCCACACATTATTCATAGGGATATGAAATCAAGCAATGTCTTGCTCGATGAAAAGCTGGAAGCCAGAGTCTCTGATTTTGGAATGGCGAGGCTTATGAGTGCAATGGACACTCACTTGAGCGTCAGCACATTAGCGGGCACTCCTGGTTATGTCCCTCCTGAGTACTACCAGAGCTTTAGATGTTCAACAAGAGGCGATGTTTATAGTTATGGTGTAGTTTTGCTAGAGCTGCTAACTGGAAAGCAGCCCACAGATTCAGCTGATTTCGGTGACAATAATCTTGTTGGGTGGGTGAAGCAGCATGCCAAGATGAGAATAAGTGATGTTTTTGATCCCGAATTATTGAAAGAGGACCCAAGTTTAGAGATGGAGCTGCTAAAACATCTAAAGGTAGCAAGTGCTTGCCTGGATGATAAGCATTGGATTCGTCCTACGATGATTCAAGTTATGGCTATGTTCAAAGAAATTCAAGCAGGCTCAGATCTCGATTCCACGTCCACCACCATCAACGCTGACGATACAAGTTTTGGTGCTGTTGAAGGGGTAGAGATGAGTATAAAAGAAGACAATTGAACAGTGCAAACAGTGATGAAGCTATTTTTCCACAAGAGTTGTTTGGAAACAAGAAGAAGAAAGGTGTTTGATGATTTTATTCAGCCCCCCAATTTTCCCTATCTTCTATACCAATTCAAATGGTATAAAACTGCCTGTGCATTTCTACCACTTAAATGTATGTACCACTAGTCCCTTGAAAATTCTGTTATTATACATAAGAAGTTGTTTAACTCCTTGTAACACTGTAAATAAATCGCCTGAGTTTGTTTTTCTTCTGTTAATCCGAGTTTCTTTTCTTCTTATTCTTCTTTTTTTTAACGGAAAATGTAAAATCCGCCTTTCACATAATCCGCATACGTGACCATGCAGTTAGTTATCGATGTTTCGCCGAAACAGAGGATAGGATTCAGATCTAGTCCTTAAAAAAGGAGCTGTTGGATCTGTGACTTAAGAGTGATGGTGACTAAGTGGAGGGTTCTTTTGGCCCTTACTTTAGGGTACTTAATGTGTTTCCTTTTCTTTTTATCATACTCCACTTTAAATCCTATCCTATTTATTTAGTAATATAAAATGTGTCTGTCTCTCCATTAACATACAAAGTAACCCAAGAAATAGATGGTGTTTGCAATTTCCAGTTTTAGGTTTCTTTTTCTTCCGTAAGATTTATTCAATCTCTTATTATATATAGTAAGGACATTAAAAATTCNCACTTCAACTTGATGCTTTCCCTAGTTTCATATTCCACCGTTTCTTTTTCTTCCGTAAGATTTATTCAATCTCTTATTATATATAGTAAGGACATTAAAAATTCTCAAGTTTTAGCATAAGAACTGCTAAAAGTTGACCAAGTTTTTATGACTGTACTCCGGCACTCCATCAAAGACAAATCAATGGAAGATATTTAAGAGAATTTCAATTTCACAACCCCACCAGCCCCCTTTTCCCAACCAAACAAAACCTAGAAAAGGATGGGGTTGGGACCCCCATCCCTCATCCAGGGTAAAAGTTAGCTATATTATAAATGACCTAGTGTACCCTAAGCTTAATTTGAGCTCTCCCTTCACTACAAATTAAAGTTTAGCCTATTTTTATACAACAGCCGAGACCAATTTGGTGGTTTAGTATGCATTGTGAATGAGGGATATTCGATTAATGTTGCTATTGTGCATTGAAAAAGAACATTTCAGTGTAGAAGACTCTCATAATTTACAATTTTGAAGTAATTCCACAAGTTTTAACTTTTCACTGAGTGTCAAAAATACTAATAGCGCTCTAGGATTAGTTTAAATGACAAGATCTCAATGGTACAAAAGATTGACATTGTGAGTTTTAGTTTTAGTTCACCTCGTGTGTACATGTAACTTAAGAGATGATTTTGTGCATCGTGAATTTAAATCACAACTAGTTCAAGAATTATGTAGTTAGGATGATTTCTCGCTCTTGAATTATTGACTTGCTTACTTAGTCCATTCATTAAAGTCCAAGGACAATTCAAAAGCCAAATTATTTTAGGTTTTCAAACCTATCAAGATAGTTTGGATGTGAAAACATAAGGGGTTTCTGTCTTAATAAGGTATCAAGGTTGATTCGACACACATAAGTTATGAATGATTTTGGACATCCTAAGTTTATAATGTACTCAGGAGCTACATAATTACGATGATTCTCGGTTTTTAAAAAATTATTTGAATTTATGAATCCTCACATTCTTCCTAAAAAACCCAACTTGTTGCAAAATAGTGTGGTCCTTCAATTCCCCTTGCTTCAATGTGTGTGCATGCGCATGTGCACGTGTAGTCTTGCTTAGAGACTGCATCCCACAAAGCAAGGGTTCTCTAGAACCAAAGTGGGCACATACTTGAAAAGGTGGTAACCCTATAGAGAATAGGACCAATTGTAGAGATTTTGAGGGGGGCAAAACCATAAAAAGTAGATAACACTGGACCATAATGCAAATCTTCTACTATTTTGACTAGTTCCGAAGCACTCAATTCCACGGCTGGATCATATAAAATATACAAGGCCTTAGTCTCATAATTTCGATAAATGTCAGGACACTAAAATCAAAAATTTTAAATCTTATAAAATGATGAAATTCAAATTTTGTTTTCTTCCCATGAACAATTTGCATCACCCATGTTCTCCACCTTGGCTAGGGGGTGTGTGATACTATTTTAATTCTAGTCCTAGGAAAAAATGTGAATGCCTTTGTTTGCCAGCATACCTAAATTATAAAGTATTATGTTCATTGCCCAAGATTTATTTGTCCAAGTCCATAGGTCTCTCATATCATATCCCAAACAAAACTAAAACAGTGACAATAAATAACAAAAGAAATGGTCCTTTGGTTCACAGCTGTACTGTAGCTGTATTTTATTCATTATCCTTAATCAGACCAGTAAGCTAGAGACGTAGGATCTAATATTTAGGTGGGGAGGGGGAAAATCAATTGAGACTAGTCTATTTGAACATTCTTGATTCTCTACAAATTCTTTCAACTAAAAGGTTGATATTTTGTCTTTGATCGGACAAGAGATTNAGGGGGAAAATCAATTGAGACTAGTCTATTTTGAACATTCTTGATTATCTACAAATTCTTTCAACTAAAAGGTTGATATTTTGTCTTTGATCGGACAAGAGATTGTACAAATTAAGATGTCAACTCAAACTCAATATAAGTTATAAACCCTTAAACTCAAATGCAATCGGACTCATTTTTGCATTGAATATTGTGATGCCTAGAATTTTGAACTTAATACAATTCATGTTGAAATTTAGGTGTAATATCAAGTTTAATTTTCAACATTGATTCTACAATCCTTGTAATGAATGAATTAAAATTGAGTTAGTCAAGTTTTTTTTTTTTTAACTATCTCTCTCCACGTATAGCATATTTCTAATTGAGCCTAGGACATGAGTGACGTCATTGGACCTCATCTGTTCACACACCACCAAATGTTTATATTTTGGAAGTGGTAAAGTAGTTGCCAATTTATAAAAAGCCAAGTGTTGTTTATACAAGCGATGTGGGAAATTCTGGAAGTAACAAACTTAACAGAAAATGAGGTCACTTTACACGGGAAATGGGGGAAAGTTGGCATCATTTGGTTGTGTCATTGTTAGTACTTACTTTCTTTCTTGCTAATAATAGTAGTTTAGGAAATATCTATGTGCTTTACAAAGATTGACGAAAATATTAGGAAATCTGAAACAAATTTGAAGCAATCTGTGTCTATGTGCCTACTCTCATATGGTTTCAAATTCGATCCTCAGCAATCTGTGTCTATGTGCATACTCCAATCTGTTGTTATTTGAAACATGTCTAATAATGCTATCTATTTTACAGAATTAAAAATAAAGAACATCTTTTACAAAGTAGAGAGTAATCATGTTTCATCTTTGTATCATCTTTTCATTTATAAAATTATAGAATAGAGGTTGAGTTTAACTCCCTAATAAAGAGTACAAATTAGACTCTTTATTTTAGTTTGTCTAAATAGAGAGTCTATTGGATGTTGATTTTTAGTGATTGATTCTCTATAATAGAGAGTTGACCGAGAATTGATAGCGTATTGAAGATATTTTTATGAGTTTTTAATTGTTCTCCAATTAAAGCAAAAAATAATGAGCCAATTACTTCCAAAAAAAAAAAATTAATTTCTGACTTAAAATATTCTCTCTCTAACTCCAGATATTGACATTAAATTTCTGTTCTATATATTTATGCAACTGAACTCAATAATTGAGACTCCTCAAATAAGATAAACAAATAACCATTAAATTCACCCAAAGTAGGCAGAGACTTCTAAATTATTATTATTATTATTATTGTTGTTGTTGTTGTTCTTTTTTAGTTTTTTTTATTTGTTTGCATCCCTCAATGAAGGCAGATACAACTGTATATGTTGCTTCCCTAGCTTAGTTACTGCCATTTTTTTTTTGTTCAACGGTTTCTCAATTACGCACTCTCTTTGAGTGTGCATTATCATTCACAAACCACACTCATTAGATAAATCACGACTTTTTGACGGGAGTGTATATTTGAGGATGTTGAGATAATAATCCCAAAAATTCTTGTCATATAAAGCAGGCAGTGGAGTTGGTTACAAGGAACGATAAATATGGTGTTTCCCTCATTAATTTGTGCTCTTTGTTTACATGATCCACTTGTGTAGCTTGGTGCTTAATAGTTCAAAATTTCAGATCCCCAGGAAGGGGGATGAGGTTCTTAAACTGATCAATTGTGGAGTGTCCCCAGTTGTGATTGTAAATATATTTTCTCTTTCTTCATCACACAGCTGTATCTGTATGTCATTGTAACCAAATAGTTTCCTAATTTAAAAATAAAAAACAATCAATTTCTTGTTTTCTTTTGTCCCTTCATGTTGATTACAACCTACTCTAAAGTCCTAATAATGTGCTTTTAGTTATCTGTGAATTGATGCACAAACAGTACCCTAATAAGTTTTTATTTATGATCTTAGTTTTGAGCAAATCAATGTGAAATATCCCCTACAAAACTCAAATATTTCCCTAGTGTCTGTCATGTGTCATAAGAATACAGACCATTTGTATTTCAATTTTTCTGTCTTAAGACTTCATGCACATAAACACAGCAAGGCCAAGTTTACAACCTTTTGAAAACAATCTCTCCAGCCAGCTCATGAGTTTTCTTAAATTATTAAGTTTCTGGTAGTTATAATTTCTTTTGTGGTATCAATTTTTAATTTTCTTTTATATCTAATTCCTTAATGGTAATGCATTATAAGCTTTGAAAGCAACTTATGTTTGATATATTTCAACTTTTTCTTTCTACCCAAAAAATAAACAATTTCGTTGAGTTATGCAAGGTATCACCCCTCTCAGGCTTTATTTATATATTAGAGGATGACTATGGTACATATAGAGATACTGTATTAAAAGTTACAATGTTTTGAGATTAATTATTATATAATTTATAATTTAAAAAATTACAATCGATCATGAAAAATATAATTTTTAAAAGTTAACATACGCCTTTTAATTGATTGATATAAATATTGTGACCCATCAATTGTATAGGGGGTGTGCACAGATTCTCCTACCCATGAAGGTTCTCCACCAGTTAGTTATACATTTGTAACTTCTTTATTGAAGATGTTTGTGAATGGTNCGTTGAGTTATGCAAGGTATCACCCCTCTCAGGCTTTATTTATATATTAGAGGACGACTATGGTACATATAGAGATACTGTATTAAAAGTTACAATGTTTTGAGATTAATTACTATCTAATTTATAATTTAAAAA